GGGGCTCCTGCGCGGCCGGGGCGCGCGCAGAGATCCGGGCAGTGGCGCTCCCGGGGGGGCTGCGTGCGGTGGCGATCCCACAGGGCTGGGAGCAGCGCTTCCCACCACAGCCGGTCGGCGTCCCCACCGAGGGGGGGCCGCGGCGCTGCCTTCGGCGTCCACTAGGCGGCAGCACGGAGCCCCCGAGGAGCCTCGCCGGGGCAAGCGCAGCGGGCTCGCCATCCTCGCCGGCGCCGGAGCCAGCAGGGCGCGCGGGAGCCATGAAGCGGCGCTGCCCTTCCTGCCCCTCTTCTCGTCCCTCTCCTTCTCCTCCTTCTTCTTCTTATTCTTCTTGTTATTCTTCTGTTTATTCTTCTTCTTCTCCTTATCATCATTATTATTATCCTCCTTCTCCTTCTTCTTATTATTATTCTTCTTCTCCTCTTTCGTCCTCTGAGGCTGCTCCGGCGCCGGAGCCTGCTCCGCCTCCCGCCGCTCGGCCTCCCGCCGTCGCCCTCGCAGGCGCCGCGCCCCCCGCAGGGGCGAGGTGGCTCGAGGGCGACAACGCGGCCGCGGGCGCCTCCGCGCGGGCTCTCCGCGCGCCGCGCCTCCGGCAGGGGCGATGGGGCGCGGGGGCGATGCGCAGCCGAAGGCGCCGCGGCGGGGCCGCGGGGCCGGCGGCCGGGGCACGGGCAGGGCGCCGCCCTCGGACCTCGGACGCTGCGAGGGCCGCGGCCGCCGCAGCGCCAGCTCGGGCGGTTGCGCGGCCCAGCCGCGCGGCGGCGGCGGCTGCGTAGGGCGGCAGGGCGCCGCCGCCTCCGCCGCCGCCGCGGCCGCCGCGCCGACGGCCGCCGCGACCACCTCGGCCAGCGCCGTCGTTCCGGGCCAGTGTGCCATGCGGGCGCCCGCGGCGGTCACGGCGTGTCGACCCAGGACGCTGCCGCACGTTTGCCCGAGACCTCCTCACCATGTATGATCCTCGAGCTGAAGATGTGCACCAGCTTCACGGATGGAGGGCGGGCGGTATTCAAAACGTGGCTTTCGTATTAGCACCGCGCACAGCCGTCTTTAAACGTTGCGGGAACTTCCTGGATGGAGGGTGGGCACTCTTCACAATGCGGTTTTCGCCTTAGCGTCGCGCGCATTCGTCCAACAAAGGTGCAATAATTTCATGCATGGAGGGCGGGCCGTTTTCAAAATGTTGCTCTCGATAAGCGCCGCGCACAGTCGTTTGGAACATGTGCACGAACTTCGCGGATAGACGGCGGCTCTTTTTCAAAATGCGGCTCTCGCCTCAGCGCCGCGCATACTCGTAGAACAAAGTCTTCCACAGTTCCAGAAACTCTCATGGCGAACGTCCCAGACATGGTGTTTCGGCACGACGTCAGACTGTCAGCAGTGACGTTGGTTCGCTGTGTTGAAGTCCCAAGAATGCTGATTCGGCATGATTCACAGTCGTCCTGACGCAAAGGTCAGAGTGAGGGGGCCGAGCGGTCATTCACTGTCCCTGGGTGCGTGGCTGAAGTGGAATTCCGCGGTGCGGATTCTCGTTGTTTTTTTTTTGTTTGTTGTTGTTGTTGTTGTTGTTGCTGTTGTTGTTGTTGTTGTTGTTGTTGTTGTTGTTGTTGTTGTTAATGTTGATGTTGTTGTTGTTAATGTTGTTGTTGTTGTTGTTGTTGTTGTTGTTGTTGTTGTTGTTGTTGTTGTTGTTGTTGTTGTTGTTGTTGTTGTTGTTGTTGTTGTTGTTTGTTGTCGTCGTCCCACCCGCAACCCGCCCGGCGACCCACCCGCGACCCACCCCGCGACCCACCCCGCGACCCACCCGCGACCAAGCCGCGACCCACCCGCGACCCAACCCGCGACCCACCCCGCGACCCACCCCGCGACCCACCCCGCGACCCACCCCGCGACCCACCCCGCGACCCGCCCGCGGCCCACCCCGCGACCCACCCGCGACCCACCCGCGACCCACCCGCGACCCACCCGCGACCCACCCGCGACCCACCCCGCGACCCACCCGCGACCACCTTCGACCCAAACCACGTTCAAGGTACAAACCACAATTTTCGGCGCCTGCGGCGGGCTTTTTTTGCATTCCTTCCAGGTGGAGAGCCCGCGACCCACCCCGTGACCAACTCGCGACCAACCCGCGACCCAAACCACGTTCAGGGTACAAACCACATTTTTCGGCGCCTGCGGCGGGCATCTTTTGCATTCGTTTCAGGTGGAGAGCCCGCGGCCCACCCGCGACCACGTTCAGGGTACAAACCACATTTTTCGGCGCCTGCGGCGGGCATCTTTTGCATTCGTTCCCGGTGGAGAACCCGCGGCCCACCCGCGACCCAAACCACGTTCAGTGCACAAACCAATGTTTTTGGCGCCTGCGGCGGGCTGTTTTTGCATTCCTTCCAGGTGGAGGTAGAGAGCCCGCGACCCACCCGCGACCTAAACCACGTTCACTGAACAAACCAATGCCGCACAAGCGCGGCGGCGAATTTGTGCATGCCGTCTGAGCCCGCAAAAACCTCTTCAAGCCCCGCGCACCCACACCAGCCCGTCCAGAAACTTGGCCCGGCGAGTTGCCTTGATCAGAGAAGGCGGGGAGCATAACGTGGAAAAAAGGATTGCTTTGCAGTTATCTTGGGAAAGGACGGGGAGGTAGGAGGAATAAACAGGGGACGACGAGAACGCGGAAGAAAGGAGGATGTACGGAGAATGTGGAGGAAGAAAAGGAGGAGGAGCAGGAGGAGGAGGAGGGGGAGGAGGGGGAGGAGGGGGAGGAGGAGGACGAGGAGGGGGAGGAGGATGATGATGTTGGACGACAATGGGAGGACGATGATGGAGGCCGATGAGGGGGAGGACGACAATGGGAGGACGATGATGAAAGGACGAGGGGGGAGAGGAAGGACGAGACAGAAGAGGAGGAGGAGGAGGACGAGGTGGAGGAGGAGGATGACGATGACGATGAGGACGAGGACGAGGAAGAGGAGGAGGAGGACGAGGAGGAGGAGGACGAGGAGGAGGAGAGCGCCATCGACAGGAAAGGTGGGGGCCACGAGGTCCGCCGGCTCGACGACGCCCGCGTCGCCCGCGCCCGCCCCCTCACTCTTACCCGCAATTGCGGGGTGCTACGTAACGGTGATTCGCGGCGTTGGAGTCCCAGCACGCTTGTTCTGGCAGACTTCAAGATTTTCCAACGGCTGTCTTCAACGGGGCACTTCCCCCAGTGAGTGAAGAGGAATCCCTGTAGGGGCCTACAAAGAGGGAACTTTGAAGGAGGGTTCTTGCAACATCGTTGATGGGCCTTGGGTTTACAGTGGTCCTCCTTCTTCTCCTCCTCGTCCTCCTCCTCCAGCTCCTGCTCCTCCTCCTCCTCCTCCTCCTCTTCCTCCTCCTCCTATTCCTCCTGCTCCAGCTTCTCCTCCTCCAGCTTCAGCTTTTCCTCCTGCTGCCCCAGATCCTCCTCCTCCTGCTCCTCCTGCTCTAGCTACAGTTCCTCCTCCTCCGCCTCCTCCTCCTCATCATCCTCCAGCTCCTGCTCCCCCTCCTGATTCAGCTACTCCGCCTTCCCCTCCTCCTCCTGCCCCTCAGCTCCGTCCTCCTCCTCCAGCTCCTCCTCCGGCTGCTTAGGGGGAACGTGAAGGATGGACCGCCTTCCATCGGTGATACATCGCCGGCAGATCCCGGAAGGGGCCCCCGATCGCGGAACCCCACGCACGGTCCTGGGCGGATGGCTGTCGGGCCCCTGCCGGCGATCAGTGGGCGATGGGGGGTCGATGAGTCCTCCCCCGAGCCAACTCCCCCCCCCTGAGGAGGAGCGAGGAGGAGCGAGGAGGAGCGAGGGGGAGCGAGGGGGAGCGAGGAGGAGCGAGGAGGAGCGAGGGGGAGCGAGGGGGAGCGAGGAGGAGGAGGAGGCGGAAGCGGAGGATCCCGAGATGCTATCCCCACCGCGCCGGCTCGCGAGCCTCCTGACGCTGCCCCTGAGCTGCGCTCCTCCTCCGGATCCTGCTCCTGTCGGGGATCTTCTGACCCGGGTCGATCCAGACCCGGGTCAGCAGGAAACCCAAAAACTGCAATGCAGGAGGAAAAAACTGCAACGCAGGTCTTCGCAAACCCGGGTCAGCCAACATGCGCGGCCGCCTCGCGGCCACGAGCGGCTCGCTAACCCGGGCCAGCCAGAGGGGGTCTTCGCAGGATCCTGCAAGATCTGGCGCTCTGGCTGACCCCCGTCTGCATTGACCCCCGTCTCGAGGCTCCTGCTCCTGCGCCGCGCCGAGCACGCCGGCCTCGGCCTCGGCTCCCTGCTGCTCGCCGCTGCCCGCCGGCGGCTTCTTTCGAATAGCCCGCCCTCGAGCTCGGCGGAGGCGCCGCCCGCGCCGGCTGCTCACGTTCTGCCCCGTGGGCCCCCCCGAGGGGAAATGCTCCTGCCACCTCCAAAGTACACCCTGCGAAATGCTTAAGAAATCATGGGTTCAGAAATTCATAGTCTCAGAACTTGAATAAAAAACCCAACGTTTCTATTAAAATCTTAAGATTTACATTGAAACGTTAAGAATAATCGGGACTCTGGCCGAAAACTTAAGTTTTCTTAAGCATCGCCTAAGGTGTATTGCAAGAAACAAGACGGAGGTGTGGCTTCATGTTTCTGCCTCTGGGGGGCCCTCGGCGGGCCCCGGGACCGTCAAGCAAACAGCTTGAGCTGGAGACCCGCCCACGGGAGAGATGGTCGGTCGGGACTGCTGGGCACCGCGTGCAGCAAAGGGCCTGCCCTTGCCGGCATTACGCGGCGAGTCTGCGTCGCCACCCCGCCTGATGCCACCGCCGCGGCCCTGCTGGGCCTTGCAGCGTCTTCTCGACGACGACGACGACGACGACGATGCCGACGAGGAAGACGACGATGTCATCGTCATCCTCCTCTCACCTTCGTCACCTCCTCCTCCTCCTCATCCGCCTCCCACCTCTTCAACCTTCTCCTCCTCACTGCTCCTCCCAATCCTCCCCCACCCCCAACCACACCCCTCCCGCCGTTCTCCACAGGATACCTTCGCCGCTCGCGAATAGACAGATCTTCATGGACGAAAGAATCGGTTCGGTGATGGCTTTCCTGTTTCCACCTCCTCCACACACACCACCTGCAACCAACGCCTCAACGCCTCGATCATCCAGACAGCAACAGAGGCATCCAGGCAGTCATCGGAGGCACACGCTCGAACACACGTGAACCAAGTGTGGAAAAAACCTGCAGATACAGATACTGGTGTACCCCAGACCTCTCCCAAGGTGCGTCCTGACCATCACTTCGAGGCGAATCCGCCAGTGGCGACGAGGGCCTCCCAGGAGGCCCCAGGAGGCGAACGCGAGGGAAGGGTGGCAGTGTCGGTGCCGTGTCCTCCTCTGGGCTCATGCTCGCTCGGTGCTCGGTTTCTGCCCCGTCCGAGCCCCGCCCAGGCTTCCAGCCACGGCCCTCCAACGGGCCGCGCCTCCTCGTCGCACTCGTCCATCCGGAAGAAGGGGAAGTGCATGCCGTTGAGCGGCTGCGGGGCCGCGGTGCGGGGGCCCAAAGATGCGATGGCACACGCCGGCACGGATTCGGGAGTCGTGAATCTGGCGCACGGGCTCACGGGAATGATTGGCCAATATCCCACCACCACTACCAAAGGTAGGACGGGGGAGAAGAGACGATGGGGAGGTAATCTTCCTCCTCCTCCCTTTTGCCCTCCTTCTCCTCCTCCTCCTCCTCCTCCTCCTCCTCCTCCTCCTCCTCCTCCTCCTCCTCCCCCTTCTCCTCCCCATCTTCCTCCCTCTACTACTTGCGATAGAGATGGTGGAAAATCGGCCCATCAGAGAAGCGACCGTGTCCATACGTTCCAGTCTCGCATTCACGCTCTCGCGGCCTGGATTTCGGGGCGATATCCCGCGGATACGCAGTCGCACGAATACGTTCCGCGCGGGGCATCCGCGAAAACACGCCCCGTATCCGCGCGGTCGCGGTCCAAGGGCAAATGCGGATATTTGTTCACCCACGACGGGCGCCAGACTCTGAGACCTGGGCGTTTGTACTTGTTTACGAAAACGATTTCACTTAGTGTTGAACCCCTGGGCCCTCAGATATCAATCCTGCTCGAGATATGCAGCAGGAAGTCGGGGTCTAGGGCGCGCGTCGTGAGTTTCCAGTTGCACTTGTTCGTGACTTCGAATCGCAAGGGATCCACGTTTGCGGGAGAACGCCCCTCAACAAATTGTGCCGGTGTCGCCTGGTTTGGCGACAGGGAATGTGGATGTCGCATGGAAGCGGGACCCGTCGCAGTTCCACGCGCCCTGATACATGTTTCAGATTTCTCGCAATGAATTCAAGGGCCTCTTTCACACAAGCACACACCACACACGACAGGTAGCGAATCCCCCTCTTCCTACACATAAAACAACAGGACCCGCGCTCGAGGAAGCCCTGGCCTCACCTGGACACCGATCTGCTATCGCATGCTGCTCCATGCCGACTGTTCCGAACCCTCTCCACGGGGAGGTCCAGACGGATGTTCAGCACCTGCTTTGGCGTCGCAAGCTCGGCCACGCCTTGGTCAACACGCTGCCAGGGCGGCCCGTGACGCTTGCAGGCTAGGCCAGGGACTGCCCCAACCGCGCTGGTCTCGCCCATTGCTGTCTGGGCCCTCCCTTGCCTGGGCCCCCAGGCGCTCCGCTAGGGAGGAAGGGCGGCTGGAGGGCAGCAACAGGGAACTCGCGGGCAGATGGGCTCACACACAAGTCCGCACGACGCGCCAACACGCAGCAGTGCGCACAGCATGGTTGGCAAGCACATGGCTGGTGCCAGAAATGCCGAGCCGAAACGGGTCGAGATCTCTTGGGGGCGCATCTCTGAATTACTTCCGCCGGCTTCTGCTGGCGCAGCCGCCTCCGCTCTGCTTCCGCCAGCGTTCCGCCGCCTTCCGCTGGGGAAGAGATGCCACCTCCCCAGACCCCGACGTCATGAATTTTTCATGACGCGACCCCCAAAGGTCCGGACCTAGTCGCGGGGACCAGTTTTTCGTCCTGAGTCGTTTTTTGACTGTCCCGAGGGCCGGTAAGGGCCCCCGGAGGATGAAAATATAGAAAAACCGTCCGTTGTGATTTTTGTCATGGCTCGAGGGGGTCTGGGTCGCTCTCTGGAAGGCGAGACCCTCCTTGTTTGGACCGCCCCACGCCCATGCCCAGACCACCGACGTCATGATTTTTTCATGACGCGGCCCCCAAAGGTCCGGACCCCTTCCCTGGGACCGGTTTTTCATCCCGAGTCGTTTTTTGACGGTCCCGAGGCCCGGTAAGGGCCCCCAGGGGCCGAAAATGTAGAAAAACCTCCCGTCGTGATTTTTTCACGACCCGAGGGGGTCTGAGTGCGGGGCGCCCGGGCAGGCGTGACCCTTTGGTATATGCGACTCCAGGGGCCCGCCCAGTGGGCCAAGCCCAGGCGCGCAGGCCAGTGCCGGGGCGGCTATAGCGCACGAAGCTGCAGGCGAGGAGACGGCCCACAGCGCATCGCCACCGCGCCCTCGCCAGGCCACGCCATTGTCAGGGGGACGTAAGGCCTGGGTACAGGGGACTCGGAAATCCCCGACGAGGTCGTCAAAAAAATGACGAGGCCGAGCCTGCGTTTTGACGAGGCCTCCCGCCGCAGACCTCCCACGAAACTCCTCCTCGTCAAAATCCGAGGCGCGGTCGTCAAAAAACGATGGCGAACCCGAGTCCTGGCAAACCCAGGTCTTACGCTCCCCCGACATTGTGCGAACTTGGACGCCCGAAAGATCCGGGACAACTGCGGTCCCGGGCAACTCCGGCTTGGGCCCCCGCGGCGCGCATCTGCAGCTATATACCCCTGACTGCCCCCGAGGCCCTGATGCTTTGGGAGGCTTGAACGCCCGAATGATCCGGGAGAAGTGCGGTCCCGGGCAACTCCGGTTTGGGCCCCCCGGGCGCGAATCTGCAAGGATCCCTCCTCCTCCTCCTCCTCCTCCTCCTCCTCCTCCTCCTCCTCCTCCTCCTCCTCCTCCTCCCCCTCCTCCTCCTCCTGGCCGCCCCGAGGCCCTGCTGACGCGGAGCTCCGAGAGCCGCGGGCGGAGAGGCGCCGCGCGGAGCAGGTCGGGCAGGTTCGGCGGGTAGGGCTGCGGCGGCTCGCCAGGCCACAGCTGTGGGCGCGGCGGGGGGGCGCGGCGCGGGTATAGACCAGCGTTACGTTACGTCCTCGGGGGGCCTTGTCTGCCCCGTCGCGGCCCTATCCGCATCGAATCCGTGTCGAATCCATGCCGGGCTCGTCGGATCTGTGTCGAATCCGTGTCGAATCCGCGTCGAATCCACGCCAAATCCGCGTCGAGCCCGCATCGAGCCCGCGTCGGGCACAAGAAACGAAGCCAATTTGGGGAATAGGCGAGATCCCCCAAAGATACAACGTAAACCAGCGGGGCGCCGCGAGGAGAGCGAGGGGCTCGAGGCGCGATGAGCAGACATGCCCGCGGCGTGCAACAAAAACATCGGGGCGCAGACGGTGTACTGAGATCGAGGGGCTCGATGCTCGATGACCAGACATGCTCGCGTCGTGCAACAAAAACATCGGGGCGCAAACGTTGTACTATTTTGCGACTCTGGGGGCCCTTACTAGGCCCCAGGGGCCGTAAACAGAACGGCGCAGGATGACCAGACATGCTCGCGTCGTTCGGGTCGGGCGAAAGGGGGGGATAGCAAAGGGGGTGTTTGAGAACCAGCTCACGTAGCTGATGTTCCCGGCGCCTCCCGGCGCCAGAAGGCGGCCACGTGTCGAGGGATGGGCCCCTCGGCGGGGCCGAAACCAGCTGCATGCAGCAGATTTCGTAACCCCCCCTTTCCCTATCCCCCCCTTTCGCCCGGCCCGAGTCGTGCAAAAAACATCGGGGCGCAAACGTTGTACTCTTTTGGGACTCTGGGGGCCCTTGCTAGGCCCCAGGGGCCGTAAACAAAAACGGCGCAGGCTGAAAAACCAGTCCAGGGGGGAAGGGTCGGGACTTCCGGGGACCCCGAACTGGCGAAATCAGGGCATCGCATGCTTGCTTTCCTCCGAGCGTCGTGAAGAGATCGAGATGCTCGAAGATCGATGCTCAAGGCTGCCCAACTTCGCGCACCGCGCACCGTGATGCGCGGCGCGCTGTTGCCTCCGTGCATTCGCGAGGCCACCTCCGAGAATGGCAATGGCCCAGGCAGCGACGCGCAAAGCGCGAGTATCTTCGCGCCACTGCGGGTGACCTTGAAAATCGGATCTCGAGAATCGACAACGTGTCTGCGCAACGACCATCCTACCGAGCCACACGTCACTCTGTCCATCATAGGCTTCATGAATTGTTTTATCATTCGCGCCCGTGACCGGCCCCGCCACCCTTCCTCTGCCCTCTCCCTGGCCACGTCACGATTCGCGTCGTCGCAATCCGCGAATTACCCATTCCAAAGCATTCCTAGGCGGCGCCGGGACGAATCGTGACGTGACCGGCCCCCTCCCTCACGCACATTCTCGCCAGGGGAGAAAGACTTGCTCATGTTGTGTTTGTGCGAAGGTCGTCCTGCCGATCTACACGTCACTCTGTCCTCCGCTTGCGGCGTCAAGAACAGAGCGAGGGGCGATACGATTCAGCTGTTAAGGTAAGGGGGGAATCGAGGATCAAGGTCGTGGGGCGCTTCTCACCAACTCCGAACCTCCCGGAACACCCCAGTGGTCACGGCTGCAGTCCCCTCGAGACTACGGCCAGGAAGAAATCGAGGCTCCAGATTTTTCGGCGGTGGACAAACCTCTCTTTAGTAAACCTCCCCTTAATGAAAACGGCCTGGGACCAAAACCGACGGACCTGGACCCGCAACAATGACGGCCGCGACGCCCTCTCGCGAACCGAAAACGGCCAATTCACTAATCGACGTGTCAGGGTAGGAGGTCTATCCACCTCCGAATTTAGGGGGTTCCAAGAGCGGTGCGGTGACGGGCCGTGCGATGACCTCGGAGTCCCAAGAGGTCTCACGGCACGGTGGGTCGCCGCACAGTTTTTGGGGACTCTGGAGGCCCCGTCGCCCGAGAGACGTCCTCGGAGAACGACCCATGCCCCCAAAAAACAGTGCGGTCACGCGAATGCCCACCGACTCACGACGCGGTGTGGCTCCGAGTGGGGAGATCGAGGGGCTGGATGATCAGCTGTGCTTGCGCAACGTCCATGCTGCCTGGCCACACGTCTCTCTGTCCACCGCGGCCGTCAGGAACAGAGCAAGGGGCGGCACGAAGTGTTCATGGAGACGCATCAGCTCCAGGGGGGGGGGGGGAATCGAGGATCGAGGCTGTGTGTGGGGGGGGGGCGTCTCTGCCAGCGTCAAGCCTCCCAGATAGAGGGCAGACGATCCAACCCACAAAAGTATCACCCCGACGAGCGAAGCCGTCTAGTAAACGCACCCAAGGAAGGAATCGAGCAGGGCAGGGCTGTTTAGTAGACGCCCAGGGCCGACTGGTAAACGTCCAGTGTCGGGTCCGGGGGTCTTGCCTCCCTCGGCCAGAGCAGCACTCCCGCCGCCACGTCTGGCTTCTCCTCGAGGCTGTGGCTGGAGCGCGCCCTGGGCAGGTCCGAGGGCCCATTTCGAAGCCCAGACCCGGTTCGCCAGGAGGCCGCTTTCCTGCAGGCCCAAGCAAGCTGGCTTGCATGGGGGGGGAGGGGCGGGGTGCGGCGTGGCGAGGCCCAAGAGAGCACAAAATTACGGACTTCGCGCACGTCGGGGCCCACCTGCACGCCTTTTGGCCCAGCGACGCTTGGAGAAGGCGTGGCGGGAGGGGGAGGAGCCACGCACGGAAACTTGCACGAGTCGCGCGAGGCAGGGCTCGCTGACACACCGTTTCGGCCCAACGCCGTTTGAGAAGGCGGGAGGGGGGAACGTCATGCAAATGCACTTGCCTGAATCTGCGTAACGTTCAACGCCCTCCAGGCTTCGTGAGTCGTGACAGAAGCAGGACGGCCAGGGTTTTCATGGCTGGACCTTCAAGAAAGCCCAGAATCGAATCGACAAGTCGGATCGGCGATCGAAATGAATCGGATCCCGGATCGGCGGAAATCGGCAGCCAAGTCGGGAGAAGTCGAATCGGCAGAAACCGGCAGGCTAGTAGGCCTCCATCGAAAAATCGAAATCCAAATCGGAATCCGAAGTCGAGTCGAATCGGAATCAGAGGCCATCGACATCGAATCGAATATAATCGAAGGAATCGAAATGAGCCCTAGACCTGTGGGATCTCCGATCCAGGCCCGGGGGGGGGGGGCATGCGGAGAGACAGAGCACACGTCCGCGGCGAAGACCTGGCCCCGGGCATGGAGCCGACAGCCCGACAGCCCTGGGGGGGGGGGGGGGGGGCTCGGAGACAATCCCAGCACGACGTCGGAGGCAGCGCCAGGAGGGGTGGCGCAGGAGGCGCCGCCAGGGGGTCCCAGAGCCGATCCAGCATAAGACCCCCCGTCCTGGCGCGCGGAGCGCGCCAGGGGCGGCGCCGGAGGCGCCGCCAAGGGTTTCCAGCGCCGAGATCCGAGAACCCCGCGCGGACCTCCGAGTTTTCATGTTTATGTCGTTGCATGTTTCCCTACCTCATCAGATAAGGCACCCTCCAGGGCCTGACGTCGCCTGGGCACATGCCTCGACCAGCGGTCCCACCGCATGAGGGTGCTGCTTTGCTATGGGGTATGGCCGTCCATACGCCCCCCAGACACCCCCCAGATAGGGACTCCAGGTCCTGAGAGCCCGTGAAGTCCAATCGTGGGATTAGTCATGGATACTTTCGCCGCCCTCATCAGATAAGGAGCCCTCCAGGGCCTGACGTCGCCTGGGCACATGCCTCGACCAGCGGCCCCACCGCACGAGGGCGCTGCTCTGCTATTAGGGTATGGCCTTCCATATACGTGGGCGGCGGTGCTGTGGCCTGGCGAGGGGCCCAAGAGGCGGGCCACAAAAAAACAGTGTCCTGGCGAGGGTCCCCAGCCAGATGCAGTTGTGTATGCCGCAATTGAAAAATCTCTTCTTCGGCGGAACTCCATATTGAAGGGGCCCTGGGACACGCAAATAAATGCACACAAACAAAAAGAATTCCCCATCTTTTCCCGTATCGTCTGGGTTTTTGTCTTCCCCCCACTTCCCGTATTTTCCTATATTTTGGGGGGAATCGACGTTGAATTGTGTCTGTGTGTTTTTTTCCCCTCCTGACATATGGGGCCACGCAGCGCTGCACTGGGTGGGGTGGGGGGGGGGACGCATGCGGGCAGTGGCGCTGGGACCTTCGGTGGGGCTCCCTACGGGGCCACGGAACGCTGTACTCGGTGGGGGGGGCGCATGCGGGCGGTCCCACTGGGGGCTTCGGTGGAGCCCCGTATGGGGTCACGAAAACGCTGTACTGGGTGGGGGGATGCATGCGGGCGGTAACGCTGGGGCCGTCGGTGGAGCTCCCTATGGGGCCACGAAACGCTGTACTGGGTGGGGGGACGCATGCGGGCGGTAGCACTGAGGCTGTCGGGGCCACGAAACGCTGTACTGGGTGGGGGGGGGACGCATGCGGGCGGTGGCATTGGGGCCTTCGGTGAAGCTTCCCTATGCGGTCACGAAACGCTGTACGGGGTGGGGGGACGCATGCGGGCGAAGGCGCTGGGACCTTCGGTGGGGCTCCCTACGGGGCCACGGAACGTTGTCCTGGGTTGTGGCGACGCATGCGGGCGGTAGCACAGGGGCCGTCGGTGGAGCCCATTTATGGGGCCACGAAACACTGGACTGGATGGGGGGGACGCACGTGGCTGTAACGCTGGAACCTTCGGTGGAACCCCCTATGGGGCCACGAAACGCTGTACGGGGTGGGGGGGACGCATGCGGGCGGTGGCGCTTGGACCTTCGGTGGGGCTCCCTACGGGGCCACGGAACGTTGTCCTGGGTTGTGGCGACGCATGCGGGCGGTATCACAGGGGCCGTCGGTGGAGCCCATTTATGGGGCCACGAAACACTGGACTGGATGGGGGGGACGCACGCGGGCTGTAACGCTGGAACCTTCGGTGGAACCCCCTATGGGGCCACGAAACGCTGTACTGAATGTGGGGACGCATGCGGGTGGTGACACTGGGGCCTTCGGTGGAGCTCCCTATGGGGCCACGAAGTGTGTGAGGGGTGTGCCAAACTGGATGTGGGGGACGCATGCGGACGGTCCCACTGGTGGCTTCGGTGGATCTCCCTATGGGACCACGAAGCGCTGTACTGGTTGGGTGAAACGGAGGGAGGAGGGAGAAGGGGGGGGAGGAGGAAGAGGAGGGAGGAGGGAGGAGGATTGCGGGGACCGTCCCTTCAAAACAAGGACCCAACACCACAGGATGGTTGGGACAAATCACCCTGCCTGATTTCTTGACAGCGCGGTTGTGTCTGGGCAGAGCACCTCAATCCGCAGACCTCGATCCTCATCCACCAATTTAGAGGCCTCCTAGATGGGGTTCAAGAAGGTGGGGCCTGAGGAGTTCACCGCATCGCCGACATATCGGCGACGTCGGCGTGGAGGAAATCGGGCTCCACATCGAGCCGCATCGCCGATGCATCGGCGATGCGGCGCAATTCCTCGACCCCATTTGCTCGGATCCCATCTGGGAGGCGTAGACGTGGGGGGGCCCTCAAAGAAAGCAGGGGGGGTTAGAAGCAGGGGCCTTCCTAGAAGCGCACAGAGGCTTCTGAGAGGGGTTCCTGGAAACCTCCGGGCGCTTCAACTGTAAGCAGCCACCCGCCGTCTCAGAAGCCTCCCCGAACAACCTCCCTGTGCGCGAGGAGAGGATTTAACCATATCCACCGCCTGGGAACCGACGTCCTGTTGCTCCAGCGGGCGGTGCACATGGATATGTATGTTATTGCCCCGGGGGCCCAAACATGTCCATGTCCACAGCCTGTGGAGGTCCGCGAAGATCGATCCCCCAGGCGGTGGTTACAGGTCGATCGGAAGAAGTAGGTACAAACATGAAGTAGGAAGGCGGATCAAGTAGATTTGGTTTAGGCCCTCCCAGCGAACAACAACAACAACAACAACAACAACAACAACGACAACAACAACAACAACACCAACAACAACAACAACAGCAACAACACCAACAACACCAACAACAACAACAACAACAACAACACCAACAACAACAACAGCAACAACAACAACAACGACAACAACACCACCAACACCACCACCAACAACAACAACAACAACAGCAGCAGCCACAACAACAACAACAACACCAACAACAACAACAGCAACAACAACAGTAACAGCAACAGCAACAGCAACAGCAACAGCAGCAGCAACAACACGCAGCAACAACTGATCGACCCTTGAAGTGCAAAGGCGCCTGCAGTAGATTGGGAGCTAAGAAGCCAGTAATACCCACTGCCAAGGACCCACGGGTATGGACAAATCCTCGCCTCGGGTTGTGCGCGCCGCCGACGCGAGACTCGACTCCGCCAGAGCCCCGCACCCGAGGGTCGGGCGTTGGCAGAACTGGGCTCAGTGGAACCTGGTTCAGTGATCTGTACCGGGGGCGCCCCCCCCCGCTCCATTTGGGCGCCCGAGTTATCTGGGGTAACTCGGGTCCGGGGTAACTCGGGTTTGGATTCCCGAAAAGGGAACCCGAGTTAGCCCTGACCCGAGTTACCCCTGATGATGTGGGGCTCTGGACGCCCGAGTTATCCGGGGTAACTCGGGTCCGGGGTAACTCGGGTTTGGATTCCCGAAAAACGAACCCGAGTTATCCCTGACCCGAGTTACCCCTGATGATTCGGGGCTCTGATCCATGTCCACTGACCGGCACTGCCGTCACCCGAAAAAGCACTGGCTATGGCAAACCTGGTTTAGTGATTCTGGCCCATTCAAAGGCTCCGAGGCCCTACCACTAACCGGGTCTTGAAGGTCGCTGGGGGGGCAACGTTGTTTCCAGGGCCAGAGATCCCCGCACGCTCGCCGGGCGCGCTTGATCGGTCAACAGCAATCCTTACAGCCGCCCTTCGCGAGAAGCTCTGATCTCAGGCTTGCTCTCGCGGACGATTGGGCCGCTCAGGCCTGCTCTTGCCCTACAAAAACACTGCCCTCTCCCCCGCCGCCCCAGAAGCACAGGTCGCGTCCGCTGCCCCTCAGCGAGCTTCTAACCGGGTCCCCTTATACCCCAGACCCCCGACGTCATGATTTTTTCATGACGCGACCCCCAGAGGTCCGGACCCATTCCCTGGGACCGGTTTTTCAGCCCGAGTCGTTTTCTGAGGGTCCCGAGGACAAGTAAGGGCCCCCAGGGGCCGAAACTCGTGAAAAACCTCCCGTCGTGATTTTTTCACGACCCAGGGGCCGAAAATCGTGAAAAACCTCCCGTCGTGATTTTTTCACGACCCGAGGGGGCCTGGGACCTGGGGCCCTGGCCATACCCGAGAGGGGCGGGGGGGGGGGGGGGCAGGCGGGGCGGGCGGCGCGCCGCCTGGTGCCCGCCGCCGGCCCCCGGCGCCTCCCACGCCCGCCGTGCCCCGTGGAGGGCCGCGCAGTGCCGGCGTGCGCGGCGAACGATCAGCACGCCGCCACACCTCCTCCTCCTCCTCCTCCTCCTCCTCCTCTTTTTCCTCCTCCTCCTCCTCCTCCTCCTCCTCCTCCTCCCCCTCCTCCTCTTCCTCCTCATGTGCCGGAATGAGCTCTGGATGCGTGTTGTCGGATGGGGCTGCCCGCTCCAACGGGAGCCTTCCCCGAGGTCGGACAACCCGGACCCAGACCCACAGCCAGTCCTCCAAAGCGAAGCAACTACGGCGCGGTGCCGGCATCGGAATATGTGTTGCTCCCCTCTGAGTCCTCAAACCAGTTCGCCGTTGGGAGGAGGAGGAAGAGGAGGAGGAGGAGGAGGAGGACGAGGAGGAAGAGGGGGAGGAGGAGGAGGAGGAGGAGCTGGCTGCACGCAGGTAGGCAAGAGGGGCCTTTGGTGCGCAGCTTCAGGGGGCCGCGGCGGAGGTCCAATCAACGCAAGTCAAGCGCGCCAGCCAGTGCTGGCGGGACCCCTGTGGGCCCGCACCAGAGGTCTCTCGGGCGAAGGGTCACTCCTACGCGTAGCTGATGTGCGCGCGGGCCTGGCTTCCCGACGTTGCCGCTGCTTCGGAGGCCCGGACATTGGCACCAACAGCGGCTGGTTCTTCGACGGGCAGTGCCGGGCGGAATGCGCGATCGCAGCCGCCAAGCGCGGAGCGCCCTTGTCGGGGACCCTGGGGAGCTACGTGATGGCCACGGCACCCCCTACGTGTTTTCGATCGATCGAAATGTCAATCTGCATCCACGACGCTGGCTCTGGTCGGTCTCCAAGTAATAGAGAACATCATCCATCGAACATGCCCGAGGTCCGCGCGGATCGCTTCGATCGGCGCCGGCTCCGACTCCCCTGGCAAGCGCGCTCCGCGGTCAGAGGAAGGGAGTCGAGCAGCCTCCTCCTCCTCCGCCTCCTCCTCCTCCTCCTCCCTCACCCCTCCTCCCTCCTCCTCCTCCTCCTCCTCCTCCTCCTCCTCCTCCTCCTCCTCCTCCGAAAGGTTATGTTTATGATGCTTTGCCTGTGGCCTGGCGAGTACACAGAACCAAACCAAGAGCACAAGACCACCGCCTCCCGTCCACTTCGGACTGGTGCACGGGGGGGGGGGGATGGGCAAAGTGTGTGCCAGAGGGAGCAAGAGGGGGGACACAACATGCGATGCATTCGGCTGGAAAGCTGTGCCGTGGATCTCGTCTCCGTGCGAGCGGCGTGCCCGAAGAAGCTGTGCAGGAGCTGCTGTGAAGGCGTTTGAAATTTCGTCCTGATCCTGCTGCCTTCTCCTGAGGCGGACGGGGGGTAATGGCGTGGTGTCGAGGCACCGTGGTGTCGTGGTATCCCTGTTGTGTGGTATCCTACGTCGTGCCATGGCTTCGCGGTGAGATGACGCTGTGCCATCGCAACATCGTAATGTCGGAATATGTCGTGGTGGTGCCATGGCGTCATGAAGCCCGTGTGTCTTGCAACGCTGGCATTGTGTTGTCGGCGTGGTGTCGTGATGCGGTGGTGCCATGATGTCGCCTTCTGCCCCTGGATTAGAGCAGACAGAAGAAAACGAACACCAAAAACCACATCAAAACATAATTACATGACAACTGACCACCAGCAACAAACTGGGGGTGCTGAAATAAGCGATTCGCTTGCGAAACGCACACGATCTGCTGTAAAACTACAAGGGGTCCCGGCCACGAAACGACCACACTGCCTGAGAAATCCTCGCAATCTGACTGCGAGCAGGCAAGTCTAACACCCCTTGGCGCCCCCCCCCCCCTTGTGGTGTAACAAAAACCGCCTTGCTCGAAACATACTCACGACCTGCTTTGAAAGCAAAGCAAGGGATCCCAGCCACGAGACAAGCAAACCGCCTGAGACATTCTAACAGTCCGGCCGCGAACGCGCAATGTGACACCCCATGGCGGCACCCCTTGGGGCGAATGAGTCTGAATGTGAATGGGACTGGGTATGAAGACCGCGTGAAGTGTCCGACTACGCGTGAACTGAATGCAATGAGTGTGAGTATGAGCGAGTCTGCTTAGGAGTCCGCGTGGAGTGTTCGAGAAGCAAAGAATTGAATGCAAACTAGCCTTTTTTTATGTGTGAGCCTGGTCATGGGTGGGCATGTGTGAGTGGGCCTGTGAGTGCATCTGAGTGTGATTGGTCTGTATATGAGTGACTATATGTATGAGCGGGTATACGTGTGAGTGAGTCTTAGTCTGGATGAGTCTGAGTCAAAGTGAGTCCAAAACATCCCGTAATGTGGCCACGAACGGGTCGAGAGTAACACCTCCTTGCGGCTCCCCCCTGGAGTGCTGAAAACATTGCCTCGCTTGCGTTCTCACGATCTGCTCTGAAAACCAAAGATTCCCAGCCACGAAACAGGCAAACCGCCTGAGACATCCTCACAATATTGCCGCGAATGGGTGACTGTAACACCCCTCTGGCGGCTCCCCCGTGGGATGCTAGAAAAAGCACCTCGCTCGGAGCATCCTCACGATCTGCTTTGAAAGCAGAGGAATCCCAGCCACGAACTAAGCAAACCGCCCGAGACATCCCCACAATCTTGCCGCGAATGGGTGACTGTAACACACCTTTGGCGGCTCCACCTTGGGGTGCTAGAGAAAGCGCCTCGCCCGGAACATCCTCACAATCTACTTTGAAAACGAAAGAATCCCAACCACGAAGCGAGTAATCTTGCCGCGAACAAGCCAGTGTAACACCCCTGTGGCGACCCTCCCCCCCTTGGCGTGAGTGCGTATGCGTGCGAGTGAGACTGAGTACAGAGTTCGCGTGAAGTGTCCGAGTATGAGTGAGCTGAATATAAGTGAGTCTGGATCTGAAAATGAGTGCATCTAAAATTCTAGTTCACGTGGAGAGATCCAGTATGATCGCGCTCAACGTGAATGGGTATTAGCGTGAACAAGTTTAGATATGAATGAGTGTGAGTGTGAGTGGGCCTGTGAGTGTATCTGTCTGTGAGTCGTCTGTGTACGAGTGACTCTAGTATGAGTGGATATGCGTGCGAATAAATCTGAGTGTGAAACAGCCTGAGAATGAGTGCGTCTGAGTTTGTGAGTGAGTCTGAGTCTGGGTTAGTCCGAGTGTGAGTGAGTCTGAGCCTGAGTCTGAGTGAGTCTGAGCGAGAGTTGGTCTGGGTGTGAACGACCTCCGTGTGATGAAAGGAAGGAGGCGGGAATGAGTGAGTGAATGAGGCGGGGGCGTCACAGTAATAACATGAACCCTGCAGTTAGAACCTGGGGGGGGGGGGTAAGAGGGAATTCTAAGCAACAAGGCGACCAAGCAAGCTAATGCTCAAACCGGAGGTCATCCAATGTAGTTGTGTAAGACAACGGTCACGACAACGAGACGCCAAAGAACACATAAAACGCACGAGTCACCGGCAACACGGTTCCCGAACCAACTAACGTTGCGACTAGAGGCTAGTCTTATCGGCACAATACCTAGACGAGTGCAAAGTGGCAATGGGCGTGGGATGTGGTCAGAACACCGCCGAGACGCAACCTCTTGCTTCCCCTCTGAAGGTGCTAATGTTGGCAACGCCCGTGGCACGATCAATTAGTCTTCAGAGGCATCGACATATCTTGGGGTAACCACCGGATACAGATACCACATCGCGCTGCTCCCCGAACATATATCGAAGTGCGTTCCGACCAGGCCGCAGAGTCGAATCAAGCAGTGGCGACGAGGGCTCCCAAGAATGCCAAAGAAGTCGAGATCGAAAAATGGGTGTCGGTCTTGGAATGTGTGTATCTGCGGAAGCATAAGCTCCCCTTGGGTTCACAAATGCAGCCCGAACTAACGAGAAAAGCAATACCGAAAAGACAAGACACGGTTGCGTTCGCGAAAACGATTACAAGTGCTGGGAAGGCAGAACACTCGCTCCTAGGACATCTGTTGCATCTGGGGGCAGGTTGTGATTCATGACGAGAGCTGTGCACCCACCCTGTCGGTCTTGCCCTTTCTTCTACGCGAGCATGTTCTAAGCCCGGCCCAAGCCTGAGCATCAACGCGCGTCACTCACACTGAAAGTACTTACGCCGTGACGCCGCTTTGCGGCACGTTCAAATCTAACAGCTTGTGCGCGTCTGGACGCCAGGCATGCACCTTCCTCACCCTTCCCCACTCATCGTCTTTCTCCCCTTCGGATGAACCCTAGGTGCACCCCAAGGCGAACTTCGACCTTCTGCGGCTGATGCACTCCTCGGTGCAACAGCTATTCGAAGGCTGTGTTGGCAACGGTTTATACGCTGCACGGCAACAATTGCACAGGTCGGCATTTCGCAGAAGACGGCTCAGTACAGCGACGGAGGCGCTTTTCAAACGGCCGCCGTTGACGCATCATTGGAACTTCTGAGGACTTCGCGACACCACCTGCTCGGTCATGTGCGTGGGCCGCGCGAGGTGCAGGGGCTGCTGGGTGACAGTCTCGAACGGCAAAAAAAGGAACAGGCCTCGGCAACACCACGCGATCTACTTCCATTATCGCGGTGATCCCCTTGAACGAAAAACTGTGCATCAAGAATTGGGGAACCACTTCGAATACACCACCCCACACACACCCTGCATTAATCTTGAGAAACTGGTTCTGGAGATGAGCGGCCGGACAAAAATCTGAACCCAAGATCTCGATCGCAAAGCATTCCAATATGAAGGCCGCAGGGGGGGGAATGCGGCTCTCTGTCGTCGGAGCTTCCTTCCCTTCCATCGTGCCGATGCTGATCTGGCTGGCCCGATCCGTCCCGAGGGCGGAGCAGCAGGAAGGGCGAGGGCCTCTGGCGCCAAGGCGGCGGGGCCTGGGGGAAACAGATCCTGCGGACGCCTGGGCCGTCCCCCAGGACCGGGCGGGCGGTACAGTCGGGGGCTTGACCTAAGGAACCCAAAATAAGGAACGAGGCCCATTTTTCTCCATAAGTTAAACTTCGACTTCCTATCGAAAACCTCAGGAACATCTAAGGCAAGCTGCGAAACACTTAAGGAACACGGAGCCCCTCCCCAACGAAAAGGGTTCCTTCTTCAGGGCCCCGACTGTAAGGGGGGAAGGGGGTGACCTACATGTGGAGGGAAGAAAGGGGCCAGAAAGGGGCCCTTTAGGGCCCCCCTTGGGAGCCGCTGAGGCATGGGGGTCCAACAGGGGCCCTGAAGGCTCCCTTTCAGGGCCCCTTTCTTCTCCCCCCTCCCAGTTCAGGTCGCCGCCCCTGAACCCCCGCCCGACAGGAGCACTTTGTCCTGCCGAGCTGCCGCTTCGGATATGCGCGGGGCCTGGGGAGAGGCCCCCCTGGACGGGAGCCCGAACCCGGCGACCCCCAAAACCGAGCACAACGGCCAACTCGTGGCGGCGCGCACGCGGGGGGCACGGTGAGGGCATTGGAGAACGAGCACGGAGGAAAGCCCCGTGGACCCTTTTCCTCACGAACGCCTCCACTGTAAAGAGGGGGGAAGGAAGGCTTCTTGGACGCAGGCTGCTTCGTAGAAAACGGCGGCTCTGCATATATGTGAATACATACATGCATATATATATATATATATACACATGTATATATGTATATATGTATATATATATGCATGTATAGACTTATACATATAGATAGATAGATATATAGATAGATAGATCGATAGACAGACAGACAGATCGATAGATAGATAGATAGATATATAGATATATAGATAGATAGATAAGAGAGATACGCACAGAGAAGTCCACCGCCTGCTAAGAAGCAGGGGTGCTTCTAAACAGCCTTCCCCCTCTCCCCCTTCCACCCTTTGCGCGTGGCCGACGCTTTCCCCAGGACCAGCCTTTCGTACCGAGTAAAAGCCCATGGGGCTCGTGGAGGGCCCAGGGACGGTGGCAAGCCGGCGAAACACCTCAGGACGCGTTGCCCTCAGAACTCGCTTGCTTCATGTGTCTGGCACTCGGTCGGGCATGTCCCCCTACAGGCGGATTCTGGCATACAAAACCACAAAGTCAAAAGGTATCCAAACATTGTCAAACAATGATAATCGAAAAACGTCCCCAGACTATTTTCATCTTATTTTTGAGCACTCCTCATGTAGAGGGGCATGCCCGACTCAAATCTAGCATGGAAGGGACGCGTCCTGACAGAAACATTTTTTGGACCGCGACGCCTTTCCCGTGATCCGACGGCGCGTAGAAAATGGGACACCCTGCAGCACGACGGCCGGAACCTTGGACCACACTTTCTCGCGCCGCTCTCCGAGCGGAATCAATCCGTGAAGGCCCCAGAGCGCGCAACCTAGCGAAAACGCCCGGCTCCAAAAAGTTCGGACGCCAGGGTCTCAGGGCTCCCCCCAAAAAACATTCTGCATACCGAACTGTCTTGTGACGGCCGCGGGGTCAGGAGAGGGCCAAGGAACCTGACATTTGACGCGAGCTCCCGCTGCAAGCATCCCACGAAAACTGGGCCGTCAAAGTCAAGGACGGGCCCGTCCAACAGCGCCAGGGCCAGCCCGAGCTCCGGAGCTCTCTTGAGCCCCACGCTTCCCCGGCATGCCGGCCGTCCCGATCTGATCAGGGTACGCCTGCCTACACGGTGCGCTTCCGCGCTAAACCCCCGACGTCGTGATAAACCCTCGACGTCGTGATTTTCTCCGTGACGCGACCCACCGAAGTACAGACTGGACCCCTTCCCCGGGCCGCCGGCTTTTCGTCCTGACCCGTTCTTGGAGGGCCCAGAGGCTCAGGAAATCCTGAGCCGTTTTTGGACGGCCCAGAGGCCCTGGAAAGGGCCCCCAGAGTCCGAAGAGCTGAAACACCTCCCGTCGCGATGTTGCCATTGCTTCCTGACGCGCGGGGGCCTGGGGCTCTCGCCCCCTACCATTTGACCATTTAACATGTTTCACCACCTCCAAGAGGCACGAGCATCTTGCCGTGTGTGTGTGTGTTCGTCAAGCGAAGACGTAATAAACGAACTGTTGCTTTGTAACAAAAAATCGGCGGTGGACAAACCTCCCTTTCGTAGACCTCCCCTTAGTGAAAGCGGCCTGGGACCGAAACCGACGGACCTGGACTCGCAAAAGTGACGGCCGCGGCGCCCTCTCGCGAACCGAGAACGGCCCATTCCTCAATCGACGTGTCATGGTAGGAGGTCCATCCACCCCCGAAAAAAATCAGGCTCCCGTCCCCCCTCTCCCGACAGACCGTGCGGTGACCTCGAACCCCCCATAGACCTCACCGCACGGTCCGTCACCGCACGGTCTTGGGACCTCGGAGGCCCCTGCCGCCCGAGACGTCCTCGGAGAACGACCCGAAGTCCCAAAACCGGGCGGTGACCCCGAATCCCCACCGACTCACCGCACGGCGTGGTCACCACCCCGTTTGGGGGCCCCCTCCCTCCCCGCCCGGCTGGGCCCGTGCCGCCGGAGCGGGGCGGCCGCGTGGAGGGAGGCCGAAGGGGGGCCGAGGCCGCCGCGCGGGGCGCCCGAGATTGCCCGCATCGCGCGGAGCGACCGGGCGTGGAGCAGACAGTGTCACCTGGGGGCCTTGTTGGTTCTTTTGGGGTCGTGTGGCAGCTGTCAGAACACCGACAACCGCCCAGAACTTCAGCGGGGCATGCAAGTGCCACCTGCAGAGCTCCAGCCTCTCACGCATCATGGACGTGAGCGAGATCGACAAAGTGATGGCCCAGACCTTCCACGCAGCCGCCTTGCTGGGGGCACACACATGGGACGCACAACCTAGACCCCCTCGCGCAATGAAAAAAAACACGACGGGACGGGTTTCGCTGCTTTCGGCCTCTGGCGGCCCTCACTGGCCTTCGGGACCGTTCAAAAACGCTTCAGGATGAAAAGCCAGTCCCAGGGAATGGGTTCAGACCTTTGGGGGGTCGCGCAATGAGAAAATCATGACGTCAGGGGTCTGGGAAAAACATACTCGTACTACATGTTCTCCTTTACACGCGCGTCCGACCCGAACATATAGTAATACACATCTTGTAGTATGTCGTTTCCCGACCGGTATGGCCAGCAAACGCCCCCCACGACGCATATACTATAGAATTCTCGGTGCGCGCGTCGCCCCTGGGAGGCGACGCACACATATGTAGTATCAGTATGTTGGGTTGACGCCGAACAAATGGCGGGTTCCAAAGCCCTGAGCCCTGAAATGTTGTCACCTCTTGGGAGGTCGACTTTAGCTTCCGCCGGCTTCCGCCGAGCTTCGCTTTTCTCAATTGCTACTCCCGCTTGGTCTTTGGAAGTTTCTTAGCGTGCTTCGATCTCTACCTATATCAGGCGTTAACTCCTACCCCCTATCCCATGGGCGTTTCATGCACCGTTTAATACACCTATCTCCTATGTCCTGTGGCACCTAACTCCTATCTCCGATCTCCTATCTACCTATAGATCGTTTAATCCATCCCTATTTCCATGGGCGTGGCCTGGGCCCCACTGGCCGTTTTACCCTCCTCTAGATGTGGGTATAGGCGTTTCCTTCTGGTCTCGAGAGGTACATCCCCAGCTAGGGTGGTAAAATGGTGGGCCACGGGATGGGGATGGAGATGGGGATAAGTGTCGTTCAAACGATACTGATTGATTCCGGGGAAACGAGTTTCTGTGAAACTCACGTTCTCCTGACCCCCAGCGCACGAGGCAGAGATCTTGAGCGCCCGAAACGGGTACCGAAGGATGGGCACGATGCCCGGCAAGAGCTGTTGTCCAACACCGACGGCAGCCGCTGTTGGGCAGGTGGCCTTCCCTCTCAATTATCGAGGAGGAGGAGGAGGAGGGAAGGGCGAGGAGGAGGAGGAGGAGAAGAGAAGGAGGAGGAGGAGGAGGAGGAGGAGGAGGAGGAGGAGGAGGGGGAGGAGGAGTAGGAGTAGGAGGAGGAGCAACCCTCTGCGCAAGAGTGACCTCTGGTGCGCGGCTTCTGGGGAAGGCCGCGGGGTAGACCGAACACGAGCGCGCAAGACGCTACCACCGCACTGCGTTCGGCGCTCGGGGGACATTCCGGCGAAAGGTCACTAAAAGGTCAATTCCGGCTATTGGGCCCAATTCCGGCGAAAGGTCACTAGAAGGTCAATTCCGGCGAAAGGTCACTAAAAGGTCAATTCCGGCGAAAGGTCACTGAAAGGTCAATTCCGGTGAAAGGTCACTAAAAGGTCAATTCCATCGAAAGGTCACTAAAAGGTCACTAGAAGGTCACATTTCGGCGATCGGGGGACATTCCGGCTATTGGGCTCGCACCAAAGGCCACTCCGGCGAAAGGTCACTCTTACGTCTAGCTGAAACTGGACAACGCCGCGGCGGCGCGGACAGCGAGGCCGGCTCAGAATGAGCAGGTATCGCACCCATACGTTCCGTACCCACTTGGTTCGCGGGGAAGCGAGGCCGGCCACTGCGCATGCGGCGCCCGCTCCGGCGGACGTGGCGGCGGAAGCTCACGGACTCCGGAACAGAATCCCAAGCCAGCG